AACTAAATTTCCCTAATTATAATGTTTTTATTGAATATAACTTTCAAATTATAAGTAATATAAATAAAACTCCACAATATTTTCAGATACACTGATGATGAAAACTCCTAGAATTTACCGGAGAATTTAGGGACATGTACCAAGAAATAATAACCTGAAAGAAACAACAAAATATTCCGGGGATAAGAGGTGCTACCAATAGTCTGCCGGGACTAGAAACTGGTGATGATGAAATTTATCATCGGCATTTCCTTGGAAATATTTGACATGGGGTCGAACTAGAGCACCATATAATCTGGCACTACGGGTGGCCAGTTGCCCGCAGGACTTGTTCTGGCTGGTCAGTTGGTTGAGGTTCTTTCGGGATCCACGTATTGTCTGTGGTTTAAACCCTCTCTCGGGTGCTGTCGCCATCTCAACAGGGTGATGGGACAGAGCAACTTATGCTGTATTTCTGAAGCCTTTGAGTATTTCTTACTCTTCGCGTAGTAGGGCGCCCGTACCAGGTTGACACTTGGTCAACCTGTCATTCCGTAGATTGTTCTTTATGACCTGAGAATGGAACTGATGTAAGTTGTTGAACGATATGGAAAAACTCCTATGCCCGACAGGAGACTAGTCCTGATTTAGTAGACCTCTCACTTCAGGGAAGTTCTCTCTCTGAAGTGAGAGGTTCTTAGATAAAATAATTAAAAAATTTCGTTAGTTTAAAAACATTTTCTTCTTTCTTACTTAATTTTTTACAAATGTCAGAATTTTCCAAATTTCAAAAAGTTTAATATTCAATTACAAAAACTAATTATAACAAGTAAGAGTGTTATATTCGGCTATGCCGAATCTTATATACCCACCATCAAACCTCGTTTGACTCGAATGAAACTTACTTATGTCGAATTTCATCTATATACTAGTATATTTAGGCCAGTTATTAACGCTTATAATTTTCTGAAGGGGACCATATATAAGGGGGTCGGGTCAATTATGGGTCGATCCTCATAAAATTTGGTAGATAGAATTTGGTTCGTATTAAATTTATTTGTGTCGAATTTCATCGCTACACTCGTATTTTTAAACCTTTAATGAGCGTTGCAGTCATTTTCTGAAGGGGACCTTATATGGGGGGTAGGGTCAATCATGGACCGATCCTCATAAAATTTTTTAGATAGATTTTGACTCGTATGAAACTTACTTATGTCGAATTTCATCTATATACTAGTACTTTTAAGCCAGTAATGAGCGTTAAAGTCATTTTCTGAAGGGGACCTTATATGGGGGGTAGGGTCAATTATGGACCGATCCTCATAAAATTTCGCATATTGATTTTGGATCATAAGAAACTTACTTATATCGAATTTCATCGCTATATTCGTATTTTTAAACAAGTTATGGCTGTTAAAGCTGCTTCTCGAGGGGCCACTTGTATGGGGGCTATCCGAAAACGTGGACCCATATTGCCCATTTTCAATACCAAACAAACCTTACCTATAAGAAATATTTATGTGAAATTTCAACCCTCTAGCTCTTTCCATTCGGACTCTATCGTGCTTTCAACAGACAGACAGACAGACAGACGGACGGACGGACAGACGGACAGACGGACAGACATGGCTAGATCGTCTTAGAATTTAATGAGGACCCAGAATATATATACTTTTGTGGGTCTATGACCAATATTTCTATGTGTTACAAACGGAATGACAAAATCAATATACCCCCCATCTTTTTTGATGGTGGGTATAATAATTAAATTTTAATAATAATTAAAGGGTTTATTGATTAAAATATATAGATTTTTGTAAAATAATGTATTTAATTAAAAAAATTAATCATATTAATTTAAAATTTAATACTGATTAAAATCTTTATTGAAAAAAATTATTGAATATTTTTTTCTGTGTTTGTAGCTCTACTGGTTATACTTATGGTACAAAAGCATTTATCGATATCTTAGGATTTAGCAAAAGCACCTCATAAGTATACGAATTTAATGTATTATGAAAACAGACATCATTTTATAATAGATTTTGTGGAAAAAGTAAATAAATAAATTTATTATGTAGTCCAGACAGTCCTTAAATTTTATATCACATTTTAAAATATTTTTTTTTTAAAAAGTGCAAAAAATAGCTCCACAAAAGTATTTGAATTTTTTGTATACATCATATTTAGATTAGCATTATGAAGTAAAAATAAATTATTAAAATGAAATTAATATTTTGTATAGTAGCCTTTGTTTTTAAAAACAACTTCCAAGCGACGTGGGACCGTTTCTACTAATTTATGAAATAGTTCTGGTGTTATTATGTCCCATTCTTCACGCAAAGCAACCGCATGGTGGTTTTGGAGGATAATGAGTGATTTAAAAGGTGTTCTTGTAAATATAACCACAAATTTTCAATGGAGTTTAAGTCCAGACATTAACTCTATTGAAATTTGATGAAAGAAGACACTTAGTGTTGTAAATGATCAACATTTTCACGTACCATATATACATGATTTCCATATATTAAATGCTCCAACAAAAAGTCCTATGTGTTTCAAATTATATCGATTTAAATCATAAATCCGCCAAAATAATATTTTATTTAAACTAGTTAATATAATACCGTAAATAATCGATCATCACCTGCCTTTTAGTGCACTCATCAACTTAAAATCACTTTATGGGTCGATTCAATCTGTTCCGTCCTTCCGTTAATATTTTTATGAAACTTTTTATTTAAAGTATTTGTGGTACTTATATGAAAAAACGAAGTAGGCGGTATTTCGCATACCCATTTTTATGAAATTTTGTGGGACTAGTCTATGTATTTGGTAGATTAAGTCCACCGAATAAAATTTCAAATTGAAAGTTTAATTGCAACTTCTAAACATATTTCCAATTTTGCATAGACTGATGCTGTGCAAATAAGTCGAAATTCTAAGATAAATGATTAATTAAGAATTAAATAAGCATTTTCTGATAATTTATGCAAGAATAGTAATTACAATATCTGTATTAGTGTTGATCTAATTGATATTTTTAAATAGCACTGCTGAAGAAAATGCGAAAATAATTTTAAGCATAATATCGGAAACTGTATTCTTTACAAAAGTTGTAATAACATCAAAAGTAGTACGACGAACAATCATAGACTTTGACTTCCACTATCTCATTAGGACCGAGACTTTTAGGTCTTAATTTAGATTGTTTAGATGACGCTGTATACCTGTTTTTATATTAACGTCTTAAATTCTACAATTTGGTCAATTTGTCCGCTAATTTAGATAGAATACGTTTGCAAAGGTAAATATCGCAGATGTTATGGATGTAATGCTAACATCTGCTGCATGGTATTACATTTGATCAAATATACCCCTTAAAGTCTCTAAACCCAAATTTCGAACGAATTCTTAAAATCTGTACATAAAATGGGAAGAATATTTCAATATAAAAATTGTTTTCCAAAAAGTCCTATGTGGAGTTTTTTTGAATTGCACTAAAACGCGTTAAAAATTCGGTTATTTTTCAAAATTCATTTCTAAAGCAACGCGATACAACAAAAATACAGCTAATTTAACCTGTTGTTTGCTTTTCTGAAAACTTTGTTAAAACCCACATATTACTAATATTCATAACAGGGACGAAGTGTTTTTTTATTTTTCATAACTTTTTAGAGTTATACTTCGACGGACTGGTTATTTAACCCTACTGCAATACCTGTCCATAGGACAAGATACTTGAGGACGCTTGATTTTCCCCTAGGACACGTCAGTAGCTAGTAAAGTAACTAGTAAAAGAGGTAGTAATGTGTCTAACTCCCAAGGACCCATTTGAAGATTACCATCCATTGACTACCTTAGGTAGTCGGGTGGCTATGTGGTATGTCAAGTGGTTAGTTCGGGACTGTCCCGTCGAACTGCTGAGTATATACTCACCAAAAAAGAACTTCCAAAGAAGCGAAAAATAAGTATAATTTACTCCATGAAAGTACTGAAAAAGACGTGAAGAAATGATGGTTTTAACATAGAGTTGTCAAAGGAGGGATGTTCTTTCTATTTTATTAAAAATTCACTACTTCTGAAGTCATTCTCAAGAAGTAATTTTTCTGCTCTTTTTTTTTGAAGTTATTCGGAAGTGAAATTGTAGTATATAGAGCTGTATTCTATTCTAATTTTACTTAAATAATATTAACATTAATAAGGCAGTAGACATATTAAATACAAAAGCCCAAAAAAAACATTTTTTATCTTATAAAAATGTAAGACCTAAAAATATATCTTCAGCATTGAAAAAATAAAATTATTTTCGCTTCTTTGGAAGTCTCCTCAGAAAGTAAAAAAAAATCACTTAGTGCTACTTTTGAAGTGGTGATAAATGTTATTCTTTTGGAAGTACTTCGTTTTATTTTTGCTGGGTACCTATGTTCTTACATTGTAGGTTAGCGGGATGTATACTTCTTATATCTTAAAATATAATAAGAATGCAGAAAATATACTGTAGTTCTATGACTAATATTTCGATGAATTAGAAATGGAATGACAAAATCTATATAACCCCATTTTTGATGTTGGGGAAATAATGGAATATGGCATCATGACAGATTTTGTTACGCCTCTTCATCATTAACCTAATAATGAAGAAGGAATACACCCTATTACACTATTATTAACTCGTATTAACAAAATATAGAATGTATTTAAAAATAATATCCTGAAAACAAAAAAAAAAAACAATTTGTATTTTTAAGAGTTTCTTCTCTATGTCTTCCTCAACAGGTTTATTTTTAATAATCAGAGTATGGAAATGACTAATAAGTCCCAACAATATTTAGATATGTACATGCGTATCTGTATGTATGAATATGACATACATATACAATGTATCTAATAAAAACTAATAAATGTTTATATTAAATAATTTTTATTTATTATAAATTCATTCATATGTAGTAAGTAATATTGTGTGTCTGAATAATTAAATATATACATTGTATATAATGCAGAGAAGTGCTACTTACCTATTAAGTTCTTCTAATAATAAACGAAAAAAAAAATATTAATAATACGTTTTGCCCTGACCTACTGTTTCTTCACTAGTTTTTTTGTTTTAACTACTTCATTATACATACAGATGTACTCGAACATATATGTGTATATGGTACGCGTGTGTATGTAATTTAAAGATTTTTATTGAAATTTTAAGGATTTGTCAAATTGAGTCCAGTTTTTCATTTATAAATAAGTAAATGTTCACATAGTTTTGCATCAACAGTCGGCAACAACGAAAATGAAATGAGTTTACAAGGGAGTAGTTGCGTAGAATTAACTCTGTGTATCGATTTTGTACACTGGGCAATTTGTGAGATGTAAAAACGAAGTAGTTTTTATTAATTTTTTAGCAATAATAATTTCATTTTGATTTATTTATTACCGAGTTTATATAGTTTTTTTTTTTAATTATTATTGTATTTAAATTTATATTGATTTGTTAATATATATTTGTTTTTTTTTTTAATATTTAGCACAACACTAAATGCAAGTATATTTTTATTTTTGCGACAAAAAAATGTGTGTGTTTGTATGTAAATGATGACTTGTTTTGCTGGTGCACAAATCCTTCGTTATCCTTGTTCGCTGTCACAATTGGAAGTATAATGTTTAAAAGCTTTTTGTCATGTCAGTGTACATAAAAATAGTTTCGTTTAGTCAGGTCAAAAACCTTCTAAAACTTTTAGTCACATACATATGTAAACAATTTTACATCGATACGTTACAATTTTCATAAATACATACTACAAGCATAATTCACAATAACAAAATATTAGGGTAAGCTACCATTAAGGTTTCGATTCAACTACCACGAAATTCTATGTTCATATGTATGTATATATACATACATACATATACCCTGCAGTTCGACAAAGAGTCAATGCATCCGAAAAAGTGTGATTTGAAGTAATGTCTAACCACCTGGTTGGCTTTAATTTGTGTTTCGTCACGGATATACTCTTTGTAAACGAGGGTGAAGATAATCGTCACTTTAGTGTCCCCTTTGTAAGCGAGAGAGGGGACACTTAAAAAGCACTTGTCTACCTCTTCGTAACCTATGGGGTGACGATTGACACCCTCGTAGGACAAGCACATATTAAAATAGCTGGTCACCTGGACAGTTGGTGGCTAGGTGTAACCCTATGTGGTAGTTTAAAGAGGGAGTTCGGGACTGTCCGACCTAACTGCTGGGTATGTATATAATATCGCCCATTTACTAAAAACTGGAATAACTTGGACTTATTGAACTGTTGATGTGTGCCAATCGATACACTAAGAGAAAAAGCTTCACTCCAGACATGAATTTCAACACTTGATCAATGAAATTATTCATTATTTACGATCTAACGTAGCCCTTCACTGGATTAATGGAAAAAAATTATGCATGTTCATTTTTTACTTCACTGTGAAACGATTTCATTGATAAAATTAAATTTGATATTTGTTCCATGAATATGTTTCATAAACGCCATGAAGCATTTTCATTTCAATAGTGAAACTATTTCATTGACAAAATGAAATTATATTTTAATTTAATTTAATGAATATATTTCATAAACGTCATGAAGTAATTTCGTTGCAAAAATTATCTTATTCCATTAAAATCATGTAATTGTTGCGCCAACCTGACAACTTAGTTGCATTAGTAAAATGATTATGAATGACTAATTTTCTCACATTTTATCAAACTATATCATAATATTATGATATATATTTCATTGTTGTTATGAAATTGTTTCCTATTCAAAACTATTAAATAAAAACATATTTTTTTTAATTTTAATAATATATTTTGATTTTATTTTACGTATTTCTGTACATAAAAAAATTAAATTTAATAATAAAATAGACAATTACATACTTACAAATAAATAAATATATAAAAGTATATTTTGTTTAAGAAATACTGTAAAATTAAAAAAAGTAACTAAAAAGAGACTTTTTTAAACGGTTTCGATAGACCAGAAAAATTTTGGGAACCATTATAAAACATAACAAAGATTATTTGAAGCTGGGTAAAATATTGAATTTAACATGAAAAATCGTGTCCCCCATTCGATATTTTCTTGAAAACCGTCTAGCTCACGAATGGACAACACTTAACCAAAAATATTATGGGTAACATCAGATTACATAACAGCGAATATTTTGAGGGGGGTAACTCAAGCACCATTTTTTGTGACTCGGTCTAATGTATATATATTTAAGTTCTCATATATGTATGTAAGTATATTTTTGGACTGTAGATACTTACCAATTATGAATCAATCGATCCTCTGTACTGTGGCCATTGTGTAGCAGCTTCCTTAATATTTTTGCATTCATAATGTATTTGGTTTATATGAAATTTTACACAATCAGACTATGTTGCCTTAAAATTTTCGACACAGAGGTTATCGTATTTTAAACTTTGTAAACAAATTCCACCGTTGTCTTCAGGAGCTGTAGGGAAAAATATACATGCATATATTATAAGTTATCAGTTTGTAACTTAAGTAGTATTACCGAATTTTTGGTTGGCATCCAGAACTTTACTAGAAGATGGTTGATCAGTTTGGAACACTTTCAATTTGCCATTATTATTATGATACGCCTTTGGAAAACAATATTCAACTATTATATTCACTATAATTTTTTTTAATTATTAATACACAACGTTTTATTAATATGTATACAAATTGTTTTTTTTTTATTTTTAAAATATGCATATATGTTTTAACTAGAAACACATGCACTTTAAATTAATGAAGTTAAATAAAATTGGTGATTGATTTTTCTAGTCTCTCTTTGCACTTTAAATTTACAGTTTTTTGTGGTCAGCAAAAATTAAAAGAAGTGGTATAACAACTATTAATATAAAGGCGTGCGTCTACAAAAACAAATATAGTGTTCAAATTTCTATAACGAAGATTGTTTCACTGCATCTATGAAAAATGTTCATTGCATGTGTGAATAATGTTCATGCACATTTAAAATTTGTAAAAATATAAAAAATGAGAACAAGGGGTGTATAAGAATAAAGGGCAAAGAGGAAAAATTAAAAAATATAAATGAAGAAAATTCATTGTATTCTGGAATGCGGTTTCATCAATTTTTTGGAAATTTCAAAAGATCACTAAATAATAATTATATTAATAAAAATATATTTAATTATACGCGTAATGAAAGGTAATTGCTATTATTTATAAACAAATTTATTTGTGATACTTATTTTTCTCAACATTTGCAATAATTTGAACTTGGTAATTTTAATGATATCAATTTCATATGAACTGTGAATTATGAAGATTTCGAAAAAAATTTATAATGAAAGATTTCATTCCGCTTAAGAAAGTGCTCATTATACAAATAAAATACTTCATTTATTCGATGAAGAACATCTGATGAACGCGATTCATTAGTTAAATTCACGAATTTTCTCTTAGTGTATAAAAATACGTAGGAAAGTAAATTTTTTACAAAAATAAAGTAAATAAAATTTTACTAACTCCTAGGACTACACAAATTTTTGATAAACTAATTTAAAAATTTGAGAAACATAAAATAAACAAAGAAAAATACAGAAAATAGGAGATAGTAGTTGAACTCGAGCCGGGAACAATAATTTATCCATCAAAAATAAATTCATACAGTTCGAATAAAATTAAATCCTTAAAAGAAAATTATACCCCATTTACACATACACGAAATCTAGTAGATTTCATTTAAAATCTTTTCAAAAATCCAGACCGTTTACACTTGCCATTTTTGGCATTTAGGAAGATTTCATTTTTTTAATATTTCTTGAAATTAGATATTTAAATATAACATTACCTTATATTTTAAATAAACTTTTATTTCATGTTTTCAATTTATTAAAATTTTGTTGACATTTAAATTTTTTTGTTTGTTTTGTTTTTCTTGTGTAGCATCGTATTTTTATACCCTCCATCAAAAAAGATGGGGGGTATATTGATTTTGTCATTCCGTTTGTAACACATAGAAATATTGGTCATAGACCCACAAAAGTATATATATTCTGGGTCCTCATTAAATTCTAAGACGATCTAGCCATGTCTGTCCGTCTGTCCGTCCGTCCGTCTGTCTGTCTGTCTGTCTGTTGAAAGCACGATAGAGTCCGAATGGAAAGAGCTAGAGGGTTGAAATTTCACATAAATATTTCTTATAGGTAAGGTTTGTTTGGTATTGAAAATGGGCAATATGGGTCCACGTTTTCGGATAGCCCCCATACAAGTGGCCCCTCGAGAAGCAGCTTTAACAGCCATAACTTGTTTAAAAATACGAATATAGCGATGAAATTCGATATAAGTAAGTGTCTTATGACCCAAAATCAATATGCGAAATTTTATGAGGATCGGTCCATAATTGACCCTACCCCCCATATAAGGTCCCCTTCAGAAAATGACTTTAACGCTCATTACTGGCTTAAAAGTACTAGTATATAGATGAAATTCGACATAAGTAAGTTTCATACGAGTCAAAATCTATCTAAAAAATTTTATGAGGATCGGTCCATGATTGACCCTACCCCCCATATAAGGTCCCCTTCAGAAAATGACTGCAACGCTCATTAAAGGTTTAAAAATACGAGTGTAGCGATGAAATTCGACACAAATAAATTTAATACGAACCAAATTCTATCTACCAAATTTTATGAGGATCGACCCATAATTGACCCGACCCCCTTATATATGGTCCCCTTCAGAAAATTATAAGCGTTAATAACTGGCCTAAATATACTAGTATATAGATGAAATTCGACATAAGTAAGTTTCATTCGAGTCAAACGAGGTTTGATGGTGGGTATATAAGATTCGGCATAGCCGAATATAACACTCTTACTTGTTTAGTATTATTTAGGAGTTGCATCACTAAAACTATTAGATTTTGAGTAGAGAAATCTAGTTAAAATCAACTAGATTTGGCTCGAAATCTCATAAGTACTAGATTTCGTGTATGTGTAAATGGGGTATTAAACATGTTATAATATAAATTTAAAACTGATTTTAAATCTTAAAATTTATAAATAAAGTGAAAAAATTAAAAAATAAATAGAATATGTATTTTTGATTGGAATTCTAAAGTTTTATTGGTGACAGTTGTCAAAATGTATCGTGTTCTAAAAGATTTCTTTTGGCACAACAAATTTGAAACATTTTCTTACCAATTTCCCACTACAAAACTTTGCTACACGCTCTATGTATTAAAAATATGATCCGTTTTAAAGAATGTATTTCATATGGTTTTATATATTTTGAAGAAAGAATATTATTTATGGTGTCAGGATTTTTCTTATATTAGATGAGTAAAAATTTAGTTGAAACTAAGATTAGAAATTATATTAATGCATACTACGTACATACATGCATACATACATACATACATACATACATACATACATACATACATACATACATACATACATACATACATACATACATACATACATACATACATACATACATACATACATACATACATACATACATACAT